GCAGGACAAGAGGAACAAATACAAACAAGTGGAGGAAACATACAATGAAGTGATTCAACACTCCAAGAAGCAGCTGTTGTCCACAGAGAGGCAGATCAGAGCAGAGTTCAAGAAGCTCCAGCAGTTCCTGAAAGAGGAAGAGGAGTCCAGACTGGCAGCTCTGAGGGAGGAAGAGGAGCAGAAGGGGAGGACTATCAGCAGAGAGATGAAGATGATTGAGGAGCAGATCTCCTCTCTGTCAGACAGCATCTCTGCTGTTGAAGAAGAGCTGCAGAAACACAGGTGCCATTCCTCAGCAGTTATAAAGACACTCAGAGCAGAGCCAGAGCCCAGAGCTCAGTGTCAGATCCACAGCTGGTCTCAGGAGCACTGATAGATGTGGCCAAACACCTGGGCAACCTGTCCTTCAGAGTGTGGGAGAAGATGAAGGAGAAGGTCCACTTCAGTCCTGTCATTCTGGACCCAAACACTGCACACCCCCGTCTCTATCTGTCTGATGATCTGACCAGTGTGAGGCGTGGAGACACAAAGCAGCAGCTTCCTGATAATCCAGAGAGAAACACTAAGTATGCCATTGTTTTTGGCTCTGAGGGCTTCAGCTCAGGGAAACACAGCTGGGAGGTGGAGGTGGGAGACCATCCTGACTGGGCTTTGGGTTTAGCTAAAGAGTCAGTTGAGAGGAAGGGAGAGCTTTTTAGTTCACCAAAGTATGGAATCTGGTGTTTAACACATGGCAGTGGAAAATACACTAATGGTGTTGGTCAGACTGTGACAGTGAAGAAGAGTCTCCAGAGGATCAGAGTCCAGCTGGACTATGACAGGGGGGAGGTGTCCTTCTATGACCCTGAAGACATGACTCACATCTACACTCACAGAGACACTTTCACTGAGAAACTCTTCCCATATTTTAATATTGCAAAGGCAGGAGACGCCAAAACCTCTGATATCAAAATCTGTCAGACTGAGATTTGATTGTAAAGTGATTCTTTGTTTTAACTGTTTTTTCAGTACAGCAACAGGGTTAATTTTAGGGAAATTATTAATCAAACTAACTTCATTATGAGTTTATTTTATTTTATTTATTAAATGGAACTATTAGCAATTCAATGAAACCAAAGGAACTTTTTCATGTGAAAATCTGACCCACTCGAGTTTGTGTAAGAAATTTTTGCTTTTAATATTTTAGTTTCTTCTAAATTAATATTTTCACAATATTTCTCATGTTGTTCATGTAAATATTTTATTAATTTTAAAATCTAAATGATGATGATTTCCTTGCTTTTCAAAGTTGTTGAGTCTGAACAGTAAACTGTGACACTTCTTTAAAGACGGATTAATGATTAAACTTGTGTCACATCAGCGAGAGTGAACTTTACAACTAAAGATCTAAATGATCCTGAATATCAGCATCTTGTTTTCAGTTAAATAACATTTTATAGTAACACGTCTACTTTACAGTTTTCCAAATTCAGAGAAATGACTTCTAAGTTCTGAAACTGTCTCATCAGCAGGTTAAAAATGTTTAAACAGATAAAATTACAATATGTTTACTTCAGCAGCATCTTCATTTCAGTTGATTATTGAAAATCACAAAATGTCTCTGTGAAGTGAAATCAATCAAATTCAGTGATTCTGTTGTTGTTGTGTTTGACTGTAAATCAGCTTTCAGACACAGTCAGTCATTGGTTCAGATTTATTTAACATGAAACTTCACTTTGATTGTTGTGTAAACATTTACTGACTCCTTAGAATAAATGATCATTTACTTCTGTTGGTTTGTAAATACAAACATTCACATGTAACCTCAGCTCTCTTAAACTGCATATCAGAGAAGACTTGTGCAGTTTGCTTTGATGGAGTCACTGATTCTCACTTTGGTCTGATCCTCACAGAAATCAAATGCAAATGTTGATCAAGTTTACATTCTCACACCTGTATGTTTATAAACTCTAACATATGTTGTTTAAGAGTAAAAATAAAATTCAGACGTATCCTACAGAAATATTTACACACTGACAGAGCTGAAAATAGTTTGTATGAACAAAACTGCAGAGATGTGAGCTGAAGGTCAGATTTTATAATATTTCTTTAAAAACTTTTAACGCCTAAACAGGACTGCAAAACAAATGTTCCTGACATGCTGCCATGTATGTTGTTGTGAGACTTTCGGAGATCCTGTGTCTCTGAGATGCCATCATAGCTTCTGTTTAAGCTGCCTGCGAAGATTCAGGGAACAAGCTAAAAACAAATTCTGCCCCACTAGCAGCAGGCAGCCATCTCTGATAGTTTGATCTTCTGATGTTTTATAATAAGGCTTTAATTTTATTTTTTACACTTCACTCTGAGTTTCAGTGTTTCAGTGAATCAAAAGTTATTATGACTCTCATTTCTATTTTATTTTTAGCTGACATGTTAGAATATTGATCACAAAACTGTTCAGCAAGTTGCCTCTGTAACGTGAAGCAAAAATCAATTTAGGTGATTTTGTGTTGTTGTGGTCCACACTGCACAGAGACAAGCATGAAACACGAGTAGTTTATGGAACAACTTTAGTATTTGACAGGAGAAGTTCACCATTCCTGCCTACTGCACACAGTACAAGACAAAGGAAACTTATTAGAGCAACTCAGAGGTTTCTGTTTGCCTCATCCGGTGTCACAGAGATCAAGCAGACACATTTGAAAGGAATAGAAAAATAGGATAAATAAATAAAAACAGTAAGACCAGGGTAAATGACACAGAGGCTTCAATAAGAAGCCAAAACAGTAAGTGCAGGTTAAGTGCCGTAACTGGCTATTTATTAAAAACATTACTAAAACTGTATGAAAAATGG